ACAACTCTACTGACGCCGTTGTAGTTACATTGGTGAGACACAGCCAGCTCACAGAGAAGCTCATTTGTCTTCTCCTAACCCTAGTGCTTCAGCCTCAGACACCCACTGAGACGGCGTCTCTTGCCGACTCGGAGCATCCCAGCTTGGCTTGAATTTGTGGTACTTTTGGAAAGAAAACGTGTTGTTGTCGTACGGGATACTTTGTCCTGTGGTCCTTAGAGCACTGCCTCTACTACAACAAAGGGACAAAGTGTTCCTTAACATATTTTTTATCCTCTCAGCAACCTTGGTGGCTGTTGGAAGGAGCTACCAAGTGACAAGGATAGTCACAGAGCCTTACCTGTGTGGCTATCATATGTCACTGCCTCTCTCATCCTCTCTTTGCTCAAGCACAAACCTTAATGACATACTAGCCAAGTCTCTCTGAGAATTTATTTTCACTTGGACTCTTCCATAATAACCAAGTATGATTTACTGTGCACTGTGCCTATGACTAAAGTTACTTGGCAGCTTTCCCCTGGTAGTACATTGTTGTGAGGACTGATTTCTCTGGATGAGCTGTTTGTTTATGTGCTCTGAAAAAGGGGTCTTTTTTATTTTTTTATTTTATTTATGTTTTTTTTTCCTGCAGTAGCATAAGGATTTATTCCTTACTGCTATCAGAGAAATGTAAATCTTTGTCTCCCAGTGCTTTTTGTAAGGCATAGGAGATTAGAGCATTTATAGATACTGAAAAGGTGTGTGTGCACATTACTCATGTTCTGGCATCCACTTGCAGAGTTACACAGAGACTGTGCTAAGAAGAGGTCTGGCAATTATCCTGCACTTACCTACAGGTTTTGCCCTAATCCTGCTAGCCTCATTGGGAGTTTTGCAATTGATTTCCTTAGAAATTTGATTGGCACAAATAATTGTATTATGAACAGCATGTTCGTACTTGAAGAATTTACTGTTTAACAATTAATTATTTTGGGCAAAGGCAGTTTTTCTGATAATCAGGTTGTACTGATGAGTTTGTATATCGATATTGTACACTTCTATACCACACAGAAGTCACAGGGGCCTTCAATTTACAATCTGTCATAAAAGGAAGTGGAAAAATAGGTCACAGCTGCAATAGAAATCTAAGTAGCACTAGGGAATGTCCCTGGGCATCTGAAGTCAGCTGGCCATACTGTAAATTTTTTTAAGTCTTCCAAATTAAAAGCTCCTGATGGTATTGGAGCATGTTTGTTTCTTACTCAAAACCAACTTTTTGAAATCACTTTTCTTCCTCATTTTGCAGCTTGACAGCTCACTCTATAGAGCCCCGCTGCTATGCAGTGGCCCATCCTCCATAAGCAACAGCTTTACTTTTTTGTAAATATATGACAATATTTGCACAAGAAAGGGATTTCTTAAGGTAATGGTTAAAAAAAAATATAGTGAATCTATTTTTTTCATTCATTCCTTGGCAGTCAAAATTGTCTTTAAATTTTAGTGACTTAAAAAAAAATAAAGTGCTGCTCTCCTTTTATAGCTATCTCTAGAAAACTGCATGAAACAAAGAGAAACCACATCCAAATTTGCAACAAAAGAAATCTGCCTGAAACCTCCCAGACTGTGAAAGGTGCTCAGTTCATGCATCTTTTCTGGCCTACTTCAGCAGCAAACACATCTGCCATGAAGAAACACCCACTACTTTTTAAGAGGCCTGAGAAGTTTCTCTCTGAATACTTCCAATATAGGCAGCCCACAGGAGAAAAACTGGGGTGCTGGGCAGAGAGGATGGGTGCAGAATGATGCCTAGAGACAGACCTAGCCCCAGCCACCACTGCCTGCTCTGGGACCTTCCTCCTGCCCCTGGGCTGGGTGTTTAGTTTTGTCTTTTGCTGTCCCCTGCAGCAACAGAGTAGCTAGTTATTTCCTAGATGTCCTGAAATGCAAGTGTGCTCTCACCTCGGAGACATTACAGAGAGGCTGCCACGTCTTTCCAGTCAAACACAAAAAAGTAATTGTCCGTGCTTTTCTTTTACAGTGTGTGTGAGTTATACAGGTATTTCTTTACAGGTATTTCTTTCTGCTCTCAGGAAAGGAGGGAATTAAATAATTCATTTGTTCCTAAGAAAAAAATATCCCAAGATTTTTTTATTTTTTTATTTTTTTAAATATTAGCACTGCAAATCAAAACATAAATAAAAAAATCAGAAGCTCAGCTCCACAAGGCAGAATATTATATTCAACAGCTTCTTTTTATCTTAGAAGTTTTTTTTTTTTCTTTTTTTACTTTACATGAAACAATCACTAGAAATCTTGGTTTGATTGTTTGTTTATTCTTAAAATGAAAGCTGATATTTTTACGTAATCATATGACTTTGGGAGCCAGAGTGTTAAGAAAGAGACAAAGAAACTTCTGGTAAAAACCATAGGAAGTGGCAAGACAATGCAGGGAGACTATAAATCTTCCTAGGGTAATAGTGTACTGTTTCTAGGGTACTAATAATACCATTATGATGTAGTACTATAGAGCATGCTAGTGTATAATAATATATCATATACTGTATTTTACAAGGATTTCAATGACATCATTATCTAGGACTCTTAAAAAGGCTTTAAACTTAATTCCAGTATCAAGTAACAGGTTTTGTTTATAATGGTATGCTTCCTTCTGATTACAGCAGTTATTGCTGATTGGAATGAAAAGAGAGAAACACCTCCTAAGACACCCCTACTATAGCCCTATCTGTACTGACTTGAAAATAGTGCATGTGTGAAAGATTTGACATGAGGCATTCCCACTTCGAACCAAAATGATTTGTGTTTTCGGCACTGATGCTGACACATTTGCACTGAAGACATGAACTCGAACAGCAGGAAGGTTGAGCTTCTCAGTACAGCAGATCTTGGTGTGGGCAAGGTGTCTTTAGGGCTGGGACTCGACAGACCCTGTCTGTCTGGTGGAAAACCAAGTATCAAACATGTGTTCTTTGAAACAGACAGCATAGAGCAATTATTCTGTATGGAACACATGTGAGAATTCGATTTTTGGTGGTGGATGATGGTTTTTACGTGGTCCTGCTCTGAGTTTCAGTCCAGTGTGCACAAACTGCCTTCTTTTCTGCAGTCTCTGAAACAAGTTTCTGTGTTATGCCTGGTCTTCCCCTTACTGAGTTTTTTAAAAATTAAATTAAACACAAGGCCCTATTCAGACAAAAACAACCCCTGCAGCTGTTACTGCTTGAGCTCTGTGAGTCTCTTGTGCTCCGAAGATATAAAAGCAATTCTTAAAGGAAAATGAGTCCCTTTCCAGTAGCTATGGAAGAGGTTATTAAACATTGCTTGACACGGTCTTCTCAATGAGCACAGCCCTGCCTTCATCTTTTGATCTCCAGGGGAAAACATTCACTGAGCATATTAAAAATTGGTACGTGGGAATGATGATCACATGCAGCAGAGCTGTAACAGCAGACAAAGCCATGGCTGTCCACAGTATCTATTTCTCTTGGGCCTAATAGAGCAAGAAAGAGCAGTGGCTGAAAATATTTCTTCTTGGCCAAGCCTGAGTAAGGGAAATGCTAGCAGATCTATTCCATGCTCTGGTATTTGCACTAGCCCTTCTTGACCTATATTATGAGAAATATGTGGATGAAGGACGTAGTTTATAAGGCTTCATTGCAGGAATCTGTCAAGAAGAGAAAGGGTCTCATCCTACTCATATTTTCTCTTACTTCTGGGAGCAGCTTAGAGGGAGAAAGAAGAGTGATTTATGATTTACCTCCACCTGGGGCAAAGTGGGTTTTGTGCAGCTGCAATTTCTCCCTTTCTTAAGAGTTGTTCTGCACATTTATGAGAGAAAGTGGGAGGAGCAAGCCTAGAAAAAACACACAACGGATTTTAGACTAGATACCTTTAGTTTCCAAAGACAAAAGAGTAAAGGAAGTAACCGAAGTTCAGACTGATCAGGATTAAAGAATGAAACTGTTGGTGAAATAACACCAGTTGCAGAGGCCAAAATATAACTCAATTTCAGAAAAACAAAATTTGAGCCTATTGTGCCTGAACCATCTGTGGGAGGCTGTGGTTGAAGGAAACAGATTATTCTTTCTAGATGTCCTTACTCATTTATAGCATGTGGCAGTTCAGAGATTTTTTATTTCTTTGTTGGCACATATTTTAAGATGAGTTTACTTGGACCAAAAGGTGAGGATGCAAATATTTAGTCATTGTAGGAAAACGTTACTGGATTTTTATGCAAGTTCTATTTTTGCTTCTCTGTTGAGCAGGTGTTTTGAACACTGGTACTGGAACTTGTTATGGCAATTGAGCAAGTACAAACATGTTTGTATGATTGCTATCCTTTCATCTGGGATGTTTTTGCAGTAAAGCTTATGCATAACTTTTTAAACTACACTATTTTAGACCACTTGCTAATAAGCATATTACCAATTCTGTAAGAGTGTTAAATGTCATATGCATTTATTTACCTATGTGTTTTTCTTCTCCAATGATCTCCCACATCATTTTTAGCAATTTGACTTTTTTTTTTTTCTTTTGCATGGGAGATAGGAAGATACAGCTCAGTGGGAAATGTGTCTGTCTCCCCATCCTCCTTAATTTCCACAGAAGCAGGGGCTCAACCCCTCTACCAATTGTTCCACAACTATTTATTTTAAAGGATATTTTAGATTGCATTTACATTATTATATTCTCAAAGATTGTTAGAAAGACTATTTAAGCTGCAGATTTCTACAAACCTGATTCAGTGAAAAAATCTAAGCACATGAAACACTCTTGTAGTCCCAGTGAGATAAATGATAACTGTTCAGGGCAACAGAGCTCAGTCTACACGAAGCACACCTTGCTCTCTGGAGCAGGTCTTAGATCCTTGTCCCATGCCACTGGCAAAATGCTGGGGGTGTTACTGGACATTCTTAGCATCCTTTTTTCTCATTTCATTTAGGACAACACAATAGCCGGCTCAGTTCAAGCAACTGCCTGATGAAACCGCAGCTGTGTCTCACCTGAACGGCCCAGTGCAGCGCGGTTTTGAAGTCTTTGTCCACCAGGGTCAGGTCTGCTCCCTTGTGCAGCAGGGTCTGTGCGTGCTGGGGCCTGTTGTGGAAAGCAGCCCAGTGGAGTGAAGTCATTCCCTGAAAGCCACAAACCCAGAGAGCAAATAATGATCATGCATGGTAGCTCCCTTCACGTCTCTTTCAACTACAGATAAGCTAGACAGTTCTGAAACCATTTTGGCTGGACTGACTCTTTCCACTCTGTCTTGACTTGGAAAGATCAGTTACAACTTCTGAAATAATTATTAAGAGGGAACCTAGCAATCATCTTTTTGGAGTCATTACAGAGTATCTATACAAATATGAATGTTTCTTCCATGCCCATCTAAAAAATGCATGGTCATCACAAAAAAAATGACAGCTGGGGAATGGTTCCTCACTGCTAAGTTTATGTTCAGTGAGAAAGGACTATTGTAGGCTGGTGCTCTGTCATGACACCATGTGATACTTATCTTAGGCTTTATCTTTGATTCAAAATAAGTATTATAAGCTAGAATTTTAGCTGACACTATTTAGCAAGCTAAGGAACTGCCCCAGTGATGTCAACAAAAAGACACACAATATAAGCATCCCATATTAACTGTTTAGGAATAAAACAAAGCAAATGTTAACTGATTTACCTGCATTTTCATTCCAGTTTACCTGTGTCTAGTCAGTCTCAGTAGATTAGAGAATTCATGGCCTGTAATATCACCTTGTCATCAACACTGTTAAACACACTTATAATTTACTCTAAAACCATAATATCAAAGACTTTCTGCATGAAATTACAACAGCAGCATGTTTTTTAAAAATTGCTAATGTTGTTCAGATGAGGTAACATTTTACTTTGGGGAGGTGCTATTTACTACCTGTTAACACTGAAAATGTATTTTAAGGGTCTTTTCTGGGTTCTAAAATGTTAAAAACAAACAAAAAAAAATGTAGAGTGGAAAAGAAATGTAAACTTGACATGGAAAACCATAAATCCAATTGGCAATAACCCAGATAAAGCACAAGCTGTAAAGCATTCAAGCAGACAACTTATCAGTGAAATAATACTGGAAGTTGTTAGCAGTATTTTTTATGTAAAAGTTTGAACCCCTCAGCTTTCATTTATCAGGTATATTTTCAAGTCCTTGCATGGCTTAAGTATGGATGATGACAAAATACAACAGATGAAGAAGAGCAGTTTTGGTCTTAGCTTGGTTTTACAAAGCTTAGTCATAAGGGGTTAAGTTTTGTAAAAACAAAAATGAGGATGAAATCCCAAACCCACTGGAATTAATGAGAGCTTTGCCACTGATACTGGTGGACCAAGATTTTGATATTTCGGACCAATTACTGTTGACAGACACCCAATGTGAGGCTCTGAAGTGAGGTTTGAGTGGAGTGTTTCCAGACTGGACATGGGTCCTCACAGCTAACCCTGGAGAGCAGGAAAAGTCACTGGAAGAAGGGAAGCTACAGTGTACTAGGCCAGCTTCTCAGCATCTGCTCTCAGTCTGTTGATATGGACAAAAGGGCAAAATCCTTGAAAAAAACAAGTTTTTCCTTGTTCTTGCCATAGCCAGAAGCAGCCAGCTGTAAAGTAAGAGTGTAAAAACTGTGTGTAGGCACCAAAGACCTTCCTAGTGCGGGGTCAGTAGGAGATGTTTAGCGAGAGAATATAAGAAGTAAGGCTCAGTGTTATACAGTCACACAACATTTGGCAATCTCACTAATGACTTCTTGTGCCATCCAGACCTCCATGTGGTAACCACTCATTCTGTGAAAAAGTGCTTCCTTTCATTTTCTTCATATACATTCACTGCTGCCTGATAATTTCTGTGGGTGTCTGCATTATTTTAGATGTAAAAGACAGCAAACAGTCATTCTCATCTTCTCCGTGCTGTTCACGGTGTCGTGAACTTGTATTATACCATCCCTCTGACATAGCTGCCATCCTGAACGTCCCATTGTAGTTAGTTTGCTCTGGTTACTGACCTACCCATGAAAGGAAGCTATTCTAAATAATCATTGTAGTCCTTTTCTGTTCCTGTTGTTGTATACGCTTTTTCGGATGACTCTTGTAGCCGGCATTCAAGGTGCAGGTATACCAAGAATTTAGAGCGTAGGGCTGCTTCCTGTTTTGGTCTCTTTTTCTTTTCTAATAATTAGTGTTCCACGTGTCCTTCTGGAGTGCCCAAAAGAGTACAGAGTTGAGCTGGTCGGAACAGCACCTCACACGTGTGGGCAGGCTGCAGTGGGCGATGGCTATCCAGCTTATGCCCATCTGCTTTGTGCAAGGTGATAGCACCCTTGAGTGGCATCTGCGGTTGTGAGAGGAAGCCTGAGGGTGATATCAGAACTGTCAAAGCTGTAGGGCTCTGAAGATCTAAAAAATGTAATGTTAAAAATAAGAAAGCCCAACAGTTGCACATCTATTAAAAATAAAGAGTAATAGGGGACATAAAAGGAGAAAACCAAATACTAAAACCAAACCAAACCAGCAGTTTCATAGATGGGTGCAATCCAGTAAAAGGGGACCTGAAATAGCATTCAGAGGCTGCGTTTGCCCCTGGGAAATATATTGTGATACTGCTTTTGCTCAGATTCTAGGCTTTTTCAGGGAATGTTTCTTCCCATTGTTGTCTCACAAAGCTTCACAATAAACCCACAGAAAGCCTCAGTTGTGGAAACTATGAAACCTCCAGATGTATTTTTTACCGTTTGTGTGTTCATGCATTGATCAGTGTGTTTTTCTCAAGTGTAGATGGGAAAACTGAAGTGTTTTACTTATGCCAGGAGAAAAGCTTCATTAGCAGAAATAATTTGTGAGGTTCCACACTTTTCAGAAAACATTAATATTCAGGGTTTAGCAGTGACATTTGAACAAATAGCATTCCCATGCCAAATGACCTAGACTAAAAGTTCCAATTTGCATTCAGTGATGCATCACAGCAAACCATTATGGCTTGAAATTGTCATTCATGGTTACATGCAACTCATTAGCAACATAATTCTATGCCAAGACAAACCATATGTCTGGTTTAGGCTGTTGTAAGTGGGGTCTGCAAACCATCCAGTAGATAAGGAAAACTCATGGGAAGAGAGAAAATTAGCAGCCCTGTGGTGGTTCTGGCACCATGGAGAAGAGAAACACCCTTGAGCAATTGCTAGAGCAAAGACAAACACAGGAAAAGATGTCCAGAGTCTCTCTTGTGCCTTGGCTTCTTTATCTGGAGAACACATTTGGGAAGCTGACACTCTCCTGTGTACACTGTGTGTGTACATGCAGGGCCAAGTTCTTTAAGGATCAGAGTAACCTAGCATAAATTCTTGTTCCTCCATGCTTGTTCTGTGCAATACCAGGTTTCTGTTATTTTTTCTGTGAACAGTTAGCTCTTTAATGATAGGACGTTTGGAAAAGGTGAAGATTTAAGCCAGGTCCAACTTAAAAAGGATCAAAAGCAATTTATGTCTTAGCAAGTGAGTTAAGAGACTGTCTGAAGATACCTCAGAGCTGGCAGTATATGGAGAAGTGTTATTAGTGTAAAGGTGCATCATTGTGGGAAAAATGTGATAGGGCTTCAGAGTTCAGCAACAACATTACAGAAATATCTGACTTGTGCATTGTCTTACCATAAAATTGATAGTTCAGTGGACTCTTTCTGAACAGCATGAACTGTATGATCCCAGAGCCTAGGACAGTGACTTACAGCACAAGCTCACTCACCTCATTGTCCTGATGATTAATTTCACTAAGATTTGACTGCTGCAGAAGCACATTCAGGAGCCTGTGGAAGCAATGACATAATCAGTGTGCTGTGCTCCTGACTAAACCTGAAAATTCGACATCTTTTGAGAAAAAAGGGCATGCAATTTCAAGAAAAATCAGTATTAGTAACGGGCACAGGTCAGAATCTTAGGCCTGCACTTTGTCGTATTAGAAAAGCAAATGAGACTTTATGGCTTATTGTCAGAACTTTGTGAATCAAATGCAGACCCACTAGGAAGAATTCTTATGTTGATTGCTGGGGTAGAATCAGAATATGTAATGCTATACATGTGTGCAGTTTTGGGCAGCAATACCTCATCATTCTATTTCATAAAGTTTTAAACAAATAGAACTATTAATGACCTGTTTCTAAAATGATTTTTAATGCTCTGTAACTCTCAGAGTAATGTGATATTGTGTATGTGTTTGTATGTGTGTACCTGCATATATACTATATATTTATACACACCTAAACCAATAGCATTTGGCAAGGCCTTACAGTTTTTCTGCTGGGACAGAGCCATTGTTATGGTATAAAACATAGCAATGCTTCGGTTCACCTTCTTATTGAATATCAGACTACAAACACTCCCCTCTGGTGGAGGGAACAGTTACAATAAAAATGTCACGTGCAATATTCAACTGCAATAATGTTTTTAGCACTGCAGAGTTTTTACTATTCCTTTCCTTATGGCATCCTGTGAAGATCTTCTGAAATCACCATAAGTTATGTTTCATAGTAGGATGATAAGTGTTTGGATCATGTAGAGGACCATGCAAATGAGTCAGAGCCTCTAAGAAAGCCAAATAGTATATAGCTGCTAATGTGGATGTACTGTTGTTCTGAGTCTAGGAAAAGGAAAGATAAAACCTTAGTGGATCCTTAGGTAAGACCACTATGCAAAACTGTGCTTACTCTGAAGGTGTAAATTTGCAATAAACCTTCAAAACATGGACTTTAAAATACACTCTCTTTTGCAAGGAGATTAAAAGACAATGAAGAGTCAAGGTGGAAGCTCTGATAAGTGTACAGATAGTGCACAGATAAATGCATGCAGTCATGCATTGATTGCCAGGAGACTGAGTGAAAATCTTTTGCTGCTTTTTGTCAGGACAATCTTCAACAACTTCCAGCACCTTTTCCAGATCTAACTGTGTTCAGGTGTGTTCATCAGATCTAGTTGATAGTGTTGCATGTGAATTTGTTTTTTCCTTTTCTTATTATTAAAAAAAAAAACACAAAGACCATTATTCCAAACAAAACAAACAAACAACAACAACTAAAAACCGTTTACAAACGCTTAGGGCAAGTTCTGCTGGTGAATCTCTTATCTGTCTGGTAATGCCATCATCAGGTGCAAGAAGTTCAAATTTATTTATTTATTTATTTATAAACTAGAATATCCCTTAATGGTGAAGACTGGGCAGATCCCAGTCCTTTGTCAGGACTTAATATCCATTTACATATGTATGCTGTCACATTTAAGAAAGGGGTGTTAGACCTCTTTTTTGAATCACGCAACCAATGGCATAGTGAAGTCATACTATAGAAACTCTGAAAATTATGATTTAGGATTGTTGTGGATAGTTTTTTAAAAAAGTGATAGGCCAGAGACTTTTTGTGGTCATTAACTCAAAACAGAATCTCAGAAATTTACTATCTGAAGACAAGTCTGAGTAAAAACGTACTGGTGTGCAGAGAGAACGTGAGATAATAATATGCTGTTAAAACTCCTTTATCACACTGTTATATAATCTGTTACATGGTTCTGTAGTTTAATTCCAGATATCATCAGTGAAACCAGTGTAGGGAAGGACATATCGTTCTTTGAGTGTAAAACCTCTTTCAACAAACTTTGGCTTACTTATTTGCTCAGACCAACAGCAATGCTACCACTCACATGTGCAGATATTCAGCCATCCCAACTGACATTTCTCTGATTTCTATTCTTAAAGACAGAATGGATTCCCTTTCCACCTTGTCTCTTAGGCTCTGTGGTACCTGCATTGAAGCATATTAATCAATTATTGGAATAACACATGAACTGGCTGATCACAGTCTCTGGCTTTCTGTGTGGTCCATGTGCTGGAAACAGCACATGGAGTTTTAGCAGGGGACTGCCAGCTTTTAAACTCAGCTGAAAAGGCATTTCATAGCTCACTGCTACATATACTTTTTTAATAACGACATGAGACTCAGGAGTGACAATGAGCACGATGCAAAAGCCCCTGCACAGTGCTCCAGGCATGTCTTCTGGGCAAGGGGCAACTCCAGCCAGGAGGAGACAGAGGACAAAGAACTGAGCAGCTGATGAATTCCTGTTTAGAGCAAAGGTCTGCCTGTGTCCATGGAGAATACGAAAAATGTTCAGGGAACCCTGCCTGCTGCTGTTAAAGTAGATTACTGTTCCCTTTCAAGTAGCAGCATGAGCAGTGTTGTACAAACATTGTCTTTCTGTGGAAGCTTTGTTTAATGATAATGTTTTCATACTGCTGCAGAAACCTTAAACTATTCTCTCCAAGTGATGCGTGAAAAGCAATGATGAAGGTGGAAAATGAAGTAAGCTGTTAAAAAAGGCCAGAGAGCAAGATCAGCTGAAATGCACAGAGCTCTGGGCAGGCCTGCTATGGTGACAATGACAAATCTATAACCTCAGTGATAAAGTCACGTGAATATTTAACATCTACTGAATGTTTTAACTGTCTCTGATATCTTTCTGTTCCTCCAAACATGATTTACTTCCTATTTTTTTAAGTGAATTTATTAGTAAGTACAAATCAAGACTTAATATATGTTAAACCTTCCTATTATCACAGGCTAGAATGAGACACAGAGGACCTCTGTTGGAACTTCCTCTCAAGAGGCATGCTTTAGTTCTTACCAGTAGGAGTAGTTAAAAATGAGACTTTCCACCAAACCTCAGCTTCCCCTTCACAGCAGGGGCTCTCAGAGAGATTGTCATGTGGAAAACTTTTCTCATGCTGGCCCATGTTACTTGGAGGAGAAACCCAGAAATAAAGAACTGGTTGTAACATTTCTTGTGGAGTGGTGCCAGAACAATCAAGGGAAACTAGAGTTTCAACCTTTACTATACACATATATTTCAATTTTACTATTTCTCTATTTTTTTTTCTCCTGCTGTTTTTATTTTATATCAGTCTCCTCACCTTGCTTGACTATGTACCCCTGTTATAGAAGCATTAGGCAATGCTTTTCCTCCTCTCTTCTCATATGACAGCCTGGTACGGGCTCCCCATTGGGCTGGGTAGATGGTTTTGGGGACTACCTGTTGAGATTCAACCAGAAAATGCTGGTGGAGCCTGGGACATACCTCACATCAGGCTCTGCAGTAGCAGCATGTAGTGGCAACCTCCCATTTTTATCAGGTATGTTCTGCTTAGCACCGTTTCTGAGCAGGCTTACACAGCCTTCCAGCCATCCCTGAAAAAGAAATTATAGCATGTCAAAGAAAAAAGTAAAATGCATTAGGCTAGATACTTGCTTGGTGGTTCTAACATTCATATGTGACCCTAGCTGTTTCTGCCTCCTGAGGAAATATACTTTGTTTCTCCAATATAGGTCTCTCCCTACTCAGTATGGTTTCTTTTTGTAGTCTGTCTCAGAGTAACTCACCCATTGATTTTTATGGAAAAACTTCTTCCCTTCCCCTTCCCTTCCCTTCCCTTCCCTTCCCTTCCCTTCCCTTCCCTTCCCTTCCCTTCCCTTCCCTTCCCTTCCCTTCCCTTCCCTTCCCTTCCCTTCCCTTCCCTTCCCTTCCTTCCCTTCCCTTCCCTTCCCTTCCTTCCCTTCCCTTCCCTTCCCTTCCCTTCCCTTCCCTTCCCTTCCCTTCCCTTCCCTTCCCTTCCCTTCCCTTCCCTTCCCTTTTTCTTTTTTTTTTTTTTTTTTTTTTTCTTTTTCTTTTCTTTTTCTTTTTCTTTTTCTTTTTCTTTTTCTTTTTCTTTTTCTTTTCTTTTTCTTTTCTTTTTCTTTTTTTTCTTTTTCTTTTTCTTTTCTTTCTTTTTCTTCTTTTTTCTTTTCCTTTTTTTTTTTTTTTTTCCCCTTTTCTTTTCCTGCAGCTATGGCAAGCAGTGAATGAATAAACAGTGATTAAAAATCTGCTAATTCCTGTATCACCAGCAAATGCTACACATATTCCTGCATGTGAATTTAATTATGCTAGTTTAAACCATGAACAAGAGCACTTAATCTTATTTCCTTTATGAGATTTTAGCAGGGAAGGCAAATCAATACCAAAGAGCCTCAGAGTGTGGTCTTACAAACATTGCTGCAGAAGTTTGAATTAGTGACAATGGTAGACTACGAACAGCTCCAGAACAGATGGAATGAATCAGTTCTTGGACTAAAACCTTCTATTGATCACCTCAGCAAAACAGCATGTAAACAACCTGGTTGCAATTGCATAAATTTTTCAGCATATGCTTAAATCACAGGGAAGTCAAGCATGTGTTCAAGTATTTTCTTCAGACCCCTGCAAGCAACCAATAAAGACCATTGCCTCCTGTATGAGCTATGTTGGATCAACATCTCCAGCATTCACAGAGGAAAGTCAGAACATCCCTGTTGTGGTTTCTGGTGGAAGTACAGGACTGCCGAATGCTGCATGTGATTTTGAACATGGAGCTCTGCTGAATTCAGTTCTCTGGACTGACATCACAGCCAATGCTCTCTAGACCTCTGATTATATCCATCACAGAAACTGAAATGGAAACTTTGAAGCCTGGGTGGCTTAAATCTTTTCCAGTCATTTCTCTTTTTCCAAAGAATATTTGTTCCCCTCTGGGAAAAGAGGAAGGAAAAATGGAGCATGACACTAATTACGGGATTTTTTTTTTTAATATCTGGCAGAGGAAATGTTTATTCTCAAGTAAGGGAGGCATGACCCTTGCACTGAATAAGTGTCTGCGAATAAGAATGTTTTGCTTCTTTCTACACATATTTTCTGGCTGAATGTCTAATAGCTGAGCAGAAACATTGTTTTTGTCTTGAAATTGCAGGAATAAACTAGATGCAAGTGATGAGACTTATTCAGGCTGCCACTATATCTGTTTAAATGTACTGGCAGTCATCCAGCCAGAACTCATATCAAGCACTATGGGTAAACATTCCTTCCTCCTTTCTTTCCAATGAGTTAAGAAAGCCTATGGCTAACCCTTCTGCCCAACTAACCTGGTCCCCATCCTCTCCCTCAGATCTGAATTCCCTCTAGTGAGGAGGAGTAGACTAAGGAGAAGAGAACCATCTTTTGGCGTTTCTGACAGGCAGCACCACATCTCCCTTCCCAAATTTCTTGATGAGATTTCTTCCCCTACTGTCACTTGCATGTTGGTTTAGTGGGGGGTTGGATTTGCTTAAGAACTGAGTATCTATGCTGATATTTGCAGCACCTTGAACCTGGCCATTCAAGGTCCAGGGAAAACCAATGCCCTAGGTCATGGGGAGTACAGGTAAACATGCTTGCTGGCTACCCAAAGTTGAGATAGGAATATGTTTCCTACAGCATGAAAATCTGATACGGAGGGTGAGGTGGGAGAAGTTAATCTTCGTATTAAAGCTGGGAAGGAGCTTCAAGCTCTTTTCCAGTGCACAGGAAACCAGTGACTCCTGAAACCACACAGAGGACCTTCACTGCTATCTAGAACCCAATATGTTGTCTTTTTTTTTTTTTTTTTTTTTTTTTTCCCCTTTGTAATACAAACAGAAATCTTATTTGCTCTACTTATTTCCTTTCTTCACTCCATCTATCTTTCCATCCTCCTCCCCCAAGACTTGGTACCAGATAAGTTGCCACAGATAGACTGGTACGTCCACAAGCATCTTGTGTGTTAATATTGGCTCCCATCTTCAGTAAAAGCTTCACGGTATCGACCTGGCGTCCTGACACAGCATGCATCAAAGGTGTGCAACCTGGGGAAGAAAGTCAAGTGTTCTTTTACAACTTTTATTTTGTCAAAGCCATAAGAGAGATATATTTTGTTATTTGCTGATGTTAGCACTGGCAAATTAACAAGTCCTTTCTCTCACAATTCTCCAACAGCTCTGCTCAGCTTTCTTTCAGGCAGGAAGTAACTCCCGTGCCAGCTAGATTGCTACTGATTACAGAAAGAACATAACTTCAGAGCAAAAGCCTTGTTTCATGAACTTTACGTCTGGAATAAATATTGTTTTTCTATTGACACGTTTCCCATACAAATTATTGACTTTGTACACCATTTTGAAGGCTGATATTCTTCAAAGTGAATAGTTGCCAGGTTATGTTTGGCTAATTTTTTCGAACCACAGCGTTATTTTGTGTTATGTGTTCAAAAGAGGTATGAAATCAAGCTATGTCTTATGCAAAGCTGTATGTTTTTGAGATGATGCTTTATGTAGACAACATCTTATTTTAAAGACTGGATTTGCCCTGGAGTAGTTTCTTTTCTGCCATCACGAGAACTTATTTTGTATTCTGCAAACCATTCCTGTGCTGGAAAGAGACTGAAATCTATGTTCAAACTTAATAATCAGATTTATTTAATACTCCATATTACAATATAATTTAATTGCTTCCCCTTCCTTCCATTCTGTTAACTGCTCAACAACAGCAAAGTCTTTCCTGCATAATCTGACAAAGCAATTTCAAGTTACTAAAATGGGAATAAATTTGAATGTTAGAAGCCATAACATGCAACAAGGCACAACTGAAGAATAATTATTCTGTCTGAATTCAGTGAGACTGTTGAGCAAATAAATACACATTACTCAAGCTAAGGTTATGCACACTCTGCCATATGTGTAGGATACAGCCATATTTTCTGTCTTGCAAGACTGGTCTTAGTTACATTTTATATACAACCTAGTAAACAACTGGAGCTGGAGCTGAAATGCTTCCTGTTTTTAATCAGTCTACCTCCACTCAGAGCCCTTCATACTGATAAGGATTTGAATACATGGTGTTAATATTAATCCTTCTAAAGAAATTGCAATAAAATATACTCTTGACTAAAAAAAAGATTTTCTAGAAAAAAGGTTGCAGAGATCTGTAGCTTTAGTAGACATGGAAAATGGATGCATATAGAACTAAGCCATGGGAGAGTGCTTTGTAACAGTGTTATATAGAAATCTGAACAGAAAGGAAGAGGAATGCAGTCTCACAGATTTAACAGATCAGTTAGTTCATTGCATACGGTACAGTTAGCCCTTTGGCAAAAAATCACATAACAAAATATTTCAAATTTGATTGTACCTGTGCACATACTTTTAAAGTGCAAATTCCTGGAAACTTTTACTCTAGAGATGTATAGAATTTATAGGATTTAGCTTTGATAAAAATATTCTTCATCCTTCCTTGAAAGGACAGCAGTTTCTCAAGCACCTTTCCGAAGAAGATAAATTCTTGATATGGTTCTGTTTGGTTATGTCAAATCAGCTTATTTTTATTTGTAAAACAAACAAACAAACAAACAAAAACCTTAGAGTTACAGGGGAAAAGAAATCTCTAAATTATGCATTTCTAGTGGATGTTCAAAAGAATAACTCAAATTTCCCATATTCTGCTACTAAGCACAGTTTTCTAAAGACAAAAATCAGGATTTAAGAATGAAAAGTTTAATTGGAATCTGAAGCCCCTAATCCCCTGAGAAAAAGCTCAGCCCCCGTTTACCCTCACTGTCGCAGCACTCCAGGATGGAAGGATCTTCTCGAATCACTGCAGTTAGTGTGTTCACATCACCATTAGCTGCTGCTTGGTAAACTACAGTCAGGTCAATCTCTTCTGCTGCATCACCTATACGGAGGAGTACATCCATGAGTAAGCAGAGAGCAAGTACGAATGATTAACAGTGAAAATAATAGCATGTTTCACTGAATGTGTGTGAATGTTGTAGTGGGTTTACATGGCAAGGTTTTGGTAGTGGGTGGCTGCAGGGATGGCCTCTGTGAACAGAGCCCCAGCAGCTGCCCCATGTTAGGTTAAGGGCCAATTTCAGCCAGATGCAAAAGGGACCCACTGCTGCCCAGAGCTGAGCCAATAAGCAATATTGTTTGTGCCTCTGGGAGAGCGGATTTAAGAAAGGGAAAAAACCCTGCTGTGCTACAGCAGCTTGGAGAGCAAGGAGTGAGAGCCAGCCCTACATGCAGCCCCCCGGGGCAGTGCAGCAGGAGGGCAGGAGGTGCTGCAGGCAGGCAGCAGCAGTTCCCCTGTGGGCTGTGCAGGGAGAGGCCTCTGGTGGAGCAGGCTGTCCCCCTGCAGCCCATGGGTCCCCCATGGAGCAGATCTCCACGCTGCAGCCCCCCCATGGGTGGAGGAGCCCCCGCTGGAGCAGGTGGATGTGGCCTGGAGGAGGCTGCGGCCCATGGAGAGCCCCCGCAGGAGCAGGCCCTGGGCTGGAGCTGCAGCCCATGGAGAGGAGCCCACGCAGGAGCAGGGGGTCTGGGGGGAGCTGCCCCCACCTGTGGGGGACCCGTGCTGGAGCAGTTTGCTCCTGGGGGATGGATGGACCCCGTGGGATGGAGCCATGTGGGAGCAGTGCTTGAAGAGCTGCTGCCTGTGGGCAGCCCCCGCAGGGTCACTTGGGGAAGGACGGCATCCATGGGAGGGACCCCACGGGGAGCAGGGGCAGAGAGGGACCGGGAAGGAGCGGTGGAGATGAAGTGCTACTGACTGGCAGCAAGCTCAATTCATCCTCCCTCTGCACCACACAGGGGGAGCAGGTGGAAGAGGGTGGATGGAGGAAAGGCGTTTTTGGTTTCTTTCCTTTGTTTCTCACTTATCTAGCTTGTTAGTAATAGACAATAAATCTTATTATCTTCCTGTGCTGAGTCTGTTTTGCCCATCACAATAATTGTCGAGTGACCTCTCAGTCCTTATCTCAACCCTTGTGCCCTTTTTATCATATTTTCTCTCCCCTGCCCTTTGAGGAGGGGGAGTGGGAGAGCAGTTGTGGTGGAGCTCAGCTGCCCACCTGAGTAAAACCATCACAGCTCTGTAACTTGAAATGGCATGAAGTGTATGCAAACAGCACAGTGGCTTTTCTTAGTCATCTGAAACTTTTTTCACCATTAACTTCTTCCAAAAACTGTCTGACATAGATGCTGAAACGGCGTAATACAACTTGTGGAAAGTTTCCACCTCTTATAAGAAATCGTACTAATATTAATGCAACGTGAATTGAGAAACAATAAAGTAATAACTGAGCTAGCTCATTATATTACTGACTACACTTCTGTGAGATAGGATGACATTGGAACACAACAGGTGTTTACAGTTTCAGTATTGTACCTTATTTTAGTCAGCTGTGAGCTCTTTCCACTGGATGCTATGCCCTGGGGAGAGACCCACAATCCTATCACAAAACTTGACAGTGGTTTGCTAAAGAAGGGGTGTACTTTCTTCAAATACTTATTTTCACAGAAAACATTGATAATCATCAAGAAGACTATCATCAGTAGATTGGGAGGGCACAGTTCTATACATTTTATTCTAGAGATGGCAGAGAAAAGCCAATTGCCAAACAAACCTAAGAGCTAAGTAACAGTTAAGGCTAATAAAAAGAAAAACAAAACAAAACAAAAAACAACATTTTTAATGATATGTCTTAGACCCAAGCACTACTGTAAAAACGCCTTATTCCTCAGTTCCTGAGAAGATTTTGGGGAAAATCTGAAACAAAGACCAGAGCAGTTTAGAATTACAAGGTCTGTGACAAAGGGAGACACAGAGCCTATTTAAAACAGGGAGGGATGCAAACCACCAGCAGTCCCCCAACACCCTCAGTAAATCTGTGCCAATGTGGCATTTTTACTGTTCCCCTTGACTTATCTAAAAGCACAGCTACCTGCAAAACAGAAGAATTAAATGACAAAAGGGCATGGTTATGTGTGGGAATATATTTATGTGCATGAAAATATCATTGATATTTGGTGAGATTATGGACTAATCTCAAGAAAATTAATTTTATTTTTAGAAATAGGCATGGACCATGTACCAATATGTACTTAAGTCATGTATTCAAATTTAATATTCACAAAAGCACATAGGGCTATTTTGGACTAGATTTGCAGAGAAGACAAAGGAAGTCCCTAACTTGTGAAGCAGACAAAGGGGACAAATCTGGTGAAAGCCCAACAGCTAAATTAGCCAAATTAGTTTCAGAGGCACTGATAGCTAAACACATCACTGAGATGATTAATTTAAGGAGAAATTATATTCCTGAGTGGTTTAGAAGCTTTACCAGGCACTCAATGATCAATGACAACATTTACTAATTTTGCTTGTTAGGCTAGGTTAGTAAATATGCTTGCATGTCAATTTCTTGCTTTTATATGACATTTTATAATTTAGAAACTCTTATTGGAAGTAAAAATGATTAGCTGCCAATGTTTGGCAATGCATTCTCCATTGGGATTGGAATTCTGAACATACTTTTCAACTCTGAGAATCACACAGGTGACCAATGCGGAGCATGTTGCTCTCTTCAGTATCCTTTTCCATGGAAAGCACTGAGTTTGAAGCTGCACTATTTTTATGACTTTCTGTCTACTGAGTTTAAACACAAGTGATTATTTTTTGTGGCTCTTGCAATGGAAGGAAAACCTTCACAAGCCTGTCTTGTAGGACCAGACCCTGAAGAGATTTGGGTTGCTAAAGGACTGAATGAGATTTTCCTTGTTTATGGATTCTCTTTTACTAGTAACATGCTTCTAGGCTGCTCATCCCATGTTGTGCATGCCTACATTTCCTTTGGCTTCAGGTGGCCATTAACCTCTTAGCACCAGGAGTCTAATGAAATATATATACATTTTTTTGGTGTAGGGTCAAATCTGATGTCACAATGAAGTGGTCTAGGTGTTTGGTTTCGGTCAGCTACGGTCTCATCCTTATTTTTGAAAGAGGAATTTCTGATCTCAGAAAGAAGGTACAGCTGCAGTGTGATGTACTGTTTGCCAAGGCTGGGGTCAGAACTCAGAGCACAACTGTTGTCCCACCACTGCACCACCTTGGTAACAGGAGAAAGTAAAGCTGATGCCTAAATCACATGAGAAAGTTGATTAAAGGAAAGACAGGTTAAGTGATTGATGACTTTTCCTTATGGTTATGTTTTCTGGAAATAGCATAAATACATAAGCAGTGCAGAAAAAGAGATGTTTAAAGAGAATTTGAAAAGTGTTAGTACAGTCTTTTTAATATTACCACATTGATATAAATTATATTAAACATTAAATATATATATATTTGAGTGAGAAAACATCTCTAAAGATAATTTTAAAGTATTTGCCACCCTATTCACGCTTGTGTTAACATTTGGCAGGTGAACCCTCATTAGCTCCACATGGGGCTTTGCAACCCAGTGTAATTGCCCACACAAGACCTTCTGTGCCTGGGACACCATCATCACTCTCTGCTTTAAAACTTGGAAATGCAATCAACTCTTACCTGGGAAAGGTAAGTATCTCAAATCTGGAGGTCTGATTATGAGTTTGGGAAAACTAGAGAGCTGATATTTAATCTGCCTTCACTAGTGCAGAGGTTCCCATTTCATCACTACTCCACTGAAGTGAATTTCCTTTCTTTTTCTCCTCTAATTGGTCTTTTAAATTACATGTTTGGTAAAATTTGTAAATTAAAAATGCTAACTTAGTTTCTGTTCTAGTAGAGAGTCTATCACTCAACAAACCGATCATTTGGCCCAGAAGCTCTGACCTGCGTGCTGCTCAGGGTGCTTGGAGGATCGGGGGACATGAAGAGCCCTTGCATCTGGACAGTGACTAGTGCACGAATACAGAAGAGACTTTACCACAGTGCCCATTAATCATGTTTCTGTATCAAATCAGATCTGCAAACTGCTCTCACAATTGTTAAACTCGGCAAACAGATGTGAAAACAAGATCAGGTCTGGTACTTAAAGTGGACTTTGCAATGGGCTGGGTTACAAAAGGGACAAGGCAGGCATTCAGCACTGGCACTGCTTCCCTTGGCCAGTCTGGAGGTACCCAGGAGGGACCAGCTGAGAGCACTGAAAAAACGCCTCTCACAGCTGCATGTGGTGGCTATCTTGTGGGACTGGAGCAGAGAAGATGCTGCTCGCATGCGGAAAGAAATCATTAGATGTATGGGTACAGACAGTAGATCAAAGGGGTCATCATCTCCTTTTATCCATTACACATATAACTTTTATTCTTTTTGCTGTTTTGCCTTGTAATAACCGTTACATTTTCCTACTGTAAGTCTGGAGTAGAGCAATCCAGGCAGAAAAGAAATTCTCCATCTCCTGAGCAGAAATTCTTCATCTCCTGAGCAGAACAGTTGCTTACCCAGAGGGCAAGGTAGCAGGAAGATTAAAGGCATGGATGCACACCTGCACCTGGGACACAGATTCCCTCTACCATTTTTCATTTAACTGAAGCCAAAATGCTTTCTCCGCTGTGGCTTTGCTGTCCTCAAAGCAATTGTTCTCCTATATAAGGAGAGGAAGCAAATTCTGAATGGTACATGAACAAGTGAATGAATGGATGAATGAACAGATGAATGAGTTTTCCTTGCACCTGCTCTTAGCAGAACATGGACCTCATGCCTGCTAGGGGACAGTGGCGTGAGTGTCCAGGGTGTCTCTAACATGACCAGTGTCTCTGGTGAAGGGATAGGGCGAAAGAGACGTGGTGTTCTGGTGCTTCATATGGACAGGGAGCAGGGAAAGCCAAGGGGTCCTGGGTGGCATTCACCCTGGCTGCACTTGGCTGCAGGTGATGTGGTGTCTCCTGTTTCATCTTCCTCCAACTTACCCTGTCCAGGAATGAGGGGGTCTGGCTGCAAAATTTGTAGGGCCTTTCTCTTGGCAGAAACCTTCCTGGGCAAAGGAGGAATGGTCTGGAGAGTGGGTGTTTTGGGAAAGTGACAGTGAGGCACTGAGTGGCTCCCTCCTCTCTTGCTGGGAGCTGGGCTGCATCTTGGGGCACCAGCATCATGAGCCATGAAGGGACCACAAACAGCCAAATGCCTGGCCCTCTGTCTGCAAATGTGTTAGCTTTACTTTTTTTATTGTCTTTCAGTTCTGTAAATGCCAGTGAGCACTGGTGCTGTTTCAGATGCATTGTATTTTGGAAAAATACTGTGCCACTGGTGAAAGGAAGCTTCAGGAAGGAAGAAGGTCCAACTAACAGCCAACATGTGGAGCATGGGGAGGGAGAAACAACAGGCTGGCACAGCAGTGCTGTAGGAAGGTCTGGAAGAGCCTTAAAGAGCAAAGACCAAATGGCATGCAAGGTTGTGACGTTTTCTTTCATAGCTAAAATGCTGAGAAAGCACCAAACTTAAAAGACAATCTATTTGAAATAAGCTGCAGTATTAAAGCATGTCATTTGTTCCAGATAAGATGAGTCTTTGGGGATGAAAGGAGGTGTATAAAGAAATATACAGAGTGATCACAGGATTTATAGCAATGAAATTACACTGATTGTGACACTAACACTCCTCTGATTCTCATGTGAAGGATGTCTGCTTTACTTGATTTGTGATGACGGTTGATCTGTTGTTTAGTAAAGTGAATATTGGATGTATGTAAGTGCTCACTTCCTATTGCATTGTATTTCAAAATCTAAATTAAGTCATTGCAGGTTAGCTTAGTGTACATGGTGTGGACAACTATAGATTTAGCCCTGCTAAAATTCACAATTTTTTACAACTGAAAGATGGATGACAGGATAATTTATGTTAACTGGGGAGAAGAAATATTTATGTACATAATTTACTTCCCTCTTTCATGCAAACACACCCTATTGCACCTCATCTCCCCTCCCCACCCACCCAGTAGCCAAACTCCTGTGATTTTCCAGGGTTTATCATCAGGACACGATACTAGACAGCTATGTGATTTCAACAAAAAGATGCTGCCTGGTTTCACCAAAAGACAACGAATCTCAAACACGGACTGAAATGCACCACTGTGATCTCACTTTGCTGTGATTTTTACCACTGGAAAAAAAAAAAAAACCAACCCTTTGCATCCAGTGGATGCAGTTAGCATCCCCTTCTCCCAGCTCCCTGATGTCTCAGGTAATGGGATGTGCCTCTCTGGATATACGGGGATAACCTATGTCAGCAGTGGCAGGCATCTCCTGGTCTTAGCATGATAGCAGATGAGTGCAAATCTTGGAAATTGTAACTCTTTCTCTAATATTACAGATTTCCTGGTTGCTTAACAAAATAATAACCTGTGTGTGTGCCTGCCTATGAGTGTAGCAGTCCAAGGATTTGTCTGGCTCCTCTGTTTACACGGCAAACATCAGAAGCCAAGTACAGCACAGCACACATTTGAATGGCACCTAACAAGTACTGAGAGGGGAGCAGGGTCTGATAATGTCTTTCTGAAGCCCCACGTTGCTACTGCTATCACTATTCATAGTAACATAAGCTATTAATGAGTGATGCCACAGGAAGTGTTGCAAAGAGGCAGTGTGATTTTCAAGCCTGGAACCTTGTTTTTTTGACCTGTAGCTGAGAGGAGTTTTCTGGTGGGTGGGTTGGAGAATGGGATTGTAGGGGAGGATTTATTGGGCTGACAGATACTGATTTGGTGTGCTTGATAGCTAGTCAGAATTATACCTTTTTATAAATTGCTCCAATGAGCAGCGTGCTCCTTCTCCTTAAAAAATACTCTTCCTGCTTAAATTGGTAATGTGTCATATGTCAAGGACTAACATGCTATTTAGCTAAAATTCACCGTGCACTCCACATCTCGAATAGAGCTCTCTTTGTGCGATAACTAGTGGTTTCAGTGTTCCCTTGCTGTGCGCTGCCTGCTCCTGCAGGCGCTCCCTGTCCTCCTCCCACGCAGTGAGTGGGGAGTACAGGCACTGAAGTCTGAGCCTCTGATGAGCCAGCAGCTCCTGCAGCGGTGGTGGAGAGGGACAGTGGGTGTACCTGGAGGGGGGTATTGCTGGGGAGGTGCTGTGAGCAGAGTGTGGCCCTGGGGATGGAGGACAGAGCTGGGTGGACACAGGGATGGGGTCGGTGTGCACAGAGTCCTGGCAGGAGGAGGGGAACAGAGTAGAAGTCCTGGGAGGTACTGACAGATGTTACCTCACAGCTCTCTCTTTTCTATCCGGATAAGTGTTTTGGATCAGTGGTCTCCTGCACTGTTCTCTGCTCCCTTATCCATCCAGAGACCTCACTGCTCCTTCCCCAGCCCTGGTTTTGCTCCAGCCTCACAGCCCGCACCACTTCCATCAGCTCTGTGCCCATCAGCCACCCCACAGCACAGAGCAAGGTGTCCCCTCACCCTCCCCAAGCTCCAAGCACAGCCGTGTTGGGGTGCAGCATAAAGTGCCTGCAGAAGGAGAGCTCAAGGGCTGCTAGGTGCTGCCAAATCTCAGTCAGCCCCGCACCTCTGTCCTTTCAAGGAAAATGTCCCAAACATGACTTCCACATGTTCCGTGAGAACCTGTCTGTGTTTCCGTGGCATGCATACGTGCCTCAGCCTGTTTGGTGTGGGGCCAGCATGGCTACATCAGCTTTGACTCTTTCCAGGCATGCACTGGAAACTGGAGCCACTGCATACAAATGATTTTGCAAGCTGACTTAGTGAGAAATTTGTTGCAACAGAGATAATCAAACAGTGACTGCTTCCTGCTCTGAGAATGTGAAAGGAATACCACTCTACAGAGGGAAATACCAGCTACAAGAGAGAAAAGCCTGTACAGGCAAACAAATACATGAAATTCAACCATTTAACTTTAAAACAGATGATAAAGTGACATTAGTATTTCCATAGCAACCTTACTATGTAGAAAATCTTCACTTTGGTTCTTTAAACTATATCTTAAATTCATAGTTATGGCAATACTTACCGATACAGCTAACATTTACTGAAGCAAAGTCAATCACTCATCACCACCTAGTCCTCTCAGTGTATACAAATAAGTAGATTAAGAAAACCAGCTTTTCTTTATTTTTTACTCCATTTTAAATTGCTTTGATTGCTAATGTGGCAATTGTTTTATAAATATATATATCCATAAAAGCACCAATATACAATATAAGCAGTAAATACATGCACTCGTCTCTCAGTGTTAGGCATATGAGCAATCAAATGCTGTAGCTTTCCTGCTGAAATATTTATCTTTAAAAATAACTCTAGCTTTAGGCTGAAATATCCATGCCTGAAACTGATGGAAGGGATTCCCTCCTGTGTAACAAAAATAGATCTCCATGAGACCTGATCTTTCCCCAAAATTCTCGCCATTCATTCTGCCAAGTAACATTAGTACATCTGCCTGGGAGGACTACAGATTTTTGAAATTAGGAGCAGTGACTTACCTTTGTGCTGATCAAACACGGATGAGGAACTGAAATCCATTGTGATCTATCTCATCATTTACAACCAGACCAGGCAAAAAGCATCTCTGGGGTTTCCAGGGAGGAATTCCACATATTAGAGCAAACAATTCAGTGGTAGCTGTCACCCATCTTCTTGTCAGAGAATTAAACTTGCTTTATGTTTGCATGTTGTTGTCAAAGCAAGGACATGATCATTAGCCTGATGGGAGCGGAATATTCTGTTTGCTATGGATGCTCTTAAAATGACATCCCTAGAAGCTCAGCCGAGCTTCTGAAAAACGTCTTCAGTGAGCAAAGCTGCCTGTGAGCATCTCTGAGAGATGCTGCAGCTCTCCCAGCCTCAGCAGCAGAGTGCTGCCCGTAAACAAGCCTTCAGAGGGTGAATGGGACTGTGCTGGCACACAGAGCATGTGCAGAGCTGCGGTGCAGCCTGGGTGCTGCTGGCCTCGCTGTGCTGGTCCAGCGGCATGTGCTGCGCTCACCGACTGCCCTGATAGGGCCACTGCCTGGGCCACTGTGTCTGAGGGTGGCTATTCACATCACGTTTTCAGAGGTTACCTATTTCTTGATTTAACCACTCTATGCAGAACTTAAAAAATCAAGCCATTGTCATCTTAGTGTTTTAATGCCTAATTAATGGACAAGATGCAATGAAAGGACCGAGTAAGTAACTGAGGAGCACATCATTGTTGCTGAAGTAGGTAGTGATACTTCAACAGTGCAGTACAACAAATATAGGAGTTCAAAGGATGCTCCAAACCCTCCGTGTCTACAAAACCAACAGCAGATTTGTGTCTTCAAGCTATTATTTTGGTTGGGCCTGTGCTTCCCTAAGTTGGGAACTCAGCCTGTGTAGTGTAAAGAGGAGGTGATCCTGATGAGCTTTGCTACTTTGAGCAGAGGATGTATTTAGCCTTATAAAGCAGGGAGGTGAATATAACAAATATTCAATCTGTCTTACATTTCACATGGGAAACTCTAAGTTGTAGCTGTGACATGTCCTCCCTTCTCTAGTCACAGTTTTATCTGGCCAGGTTAAGGTTGTGTGCATGGCAGAAATAACAATAAGTAACAATAAACAGGCTGATTTGGTACATACTTAGAGCAGAGGATCACCAGGTCTTTTCCTGAAATGCTGCCAGTGGGCTGCTGGTTTGGAGGGATAAAGGCAAGCTTTCCTAACACTGCTGCATTGGAAAAGAGTTGCCACTACTGCTGAGGAAGGCGAGCTAACATACAAAAATGATGGAAGGCAAGGCATGTTTGGTCCAAGAGTTCACAGAGGGTCTACACTAAAACTGTCCACATTTGGTCAGCCCTAGACCTTGTTCACCCTAGTGACTATATTCTGCTGCATTGACTGACGCCTGTGACTACAACAGATCCTAGAGACATAACTTACATGTAGGCACAGTAGGAGTTGTATCCGCAGCTGATTCACATCCCGGACATCTGTGTCTGAACCTAAATCCAAACTATTTGTTTGGAAAAGATTGTATGGTCCAGGAAGCAGTACAGCCTTGACGGCTTGAAACTGCTGAAATTCCCCAAAATGTGACAGTGTGATCTGCTCAAGGGTCCTGACCATGGAGAGCTGTGTGGTGGGACTGTGGGGCAAGAAGCTGGCTCCATTTTTCTCTTCTGCTGACTTGTTCACGCTTGGATCATCTGTGGCTTTGTTACAGTGAGGAGGGATCCACCATGTGGCAGCTGCTGGTTGTGCACAGATGTGAACAGGGCATGTCTGGGGTTACGTGGCAAGGTTTTGTTGGTAGCAGGGGGCTGCAGGGGTGGCGTTTGTGAGCAGAGCCCAGCAGCAGCCCCATGTCCTAGCAGAAGGTGTTTTAAGTTTGCTTTTAGTTCTTACTGTTCCAGTCTGCTGGTGTTGCTTAATATATGACATTAATCTCCCTATGCTGAGCCTGTTTTGCCTGTCATGATACTTGTTGAGCGATCTCCCTGCCCTTATCTCAACCCTTGAGCCCTTTGCATCGTATTTTCTCCCCTTTCCCTTTGAGGAGGGGAGTGAGGGAGCGGTGTGGCGGATTTCAGCTGCCCAGCTGGGTGAAACCACCACAGGTTTAACACAGATGGTCAGCATCTGTCACCTCCACCAGGAGGGTGGCTCGGCTGGTAGCCCTGGCTCTCACCTGGCTCTCAGACAGCCCGCAGGTCCAACACCTCGGTACTGCTCAAAGGGCTGTGGCCTCTGTGGCCTCCGAGGAGGAGAGGCAGGAGCTGGAGGCAGGTCTCTTGGGCAGCCGGTGGTTTAGACTGCAGGTTATCACACCCTCTGATCTTCAGAAGGCCCCACAAGTGGCTCCTGCTTCCTGCGTGTGGCAAGAAGCTCTCTGTCCTTTGTGTGCAGTGTTTCTGCTCAGTTACATCTCTGCATCCATTTCTCACCCCAACACTGCCAGTCCCCTTGTTCTGCCTTCGCAGGGCACTCAGAGCAGCCGTGTATGCTCCTGTTGGAGCACTCCCAGGAACCAGCAGCACCAGGGGTGAAGTGTTCCCCTGCTGTAAGACAGAATATTTCCTGTACTTGCTTCCCTGCTTTATAAGGCTAAATACATCCCCTGCTAAGTCAGTATGAATTTTTGCCCTGGACATCAATAGAATGAGGACGTCTTCGAAGGTGCAATTTTTTTTATGTATCACTAGCATCCTCTAAAGCAAATTTAGCAAAAAACAAATCACACCTGAGAGACTGTTCTGCAATTATAGTAGACTGTCAAGCAGTAACTGCTTCTGTGGGTATTGTTTTTCCAAATTATAATCTATGTGCAATGAATTAAAGCAAATTTTTGTTTTTGCTCAAAGTGTTGGGTATGGGAAGGAGTTGGGTATGGAAAGTCTCCCAGTGAGTTTGTCACCCTTACCATTTAGCATCTGTCTGTCTTATAGAATAGTTTGGGTTGGAAGGGACCTTAAAGATCACCCAGCTCCAACTCCCTGCCATGGGCAGGGACATCTCCCACAAGCCCAAGTTCCCCAAAGCCCCATCCAGCCTGGACTTGAGCACCTCCAGGGATGGGGCATCCACAGCTTCTCTGGGCAACTTGTGTCAGTGCCTAACCACCCTCACGGTAAAAATTTCTTCCTTATATCTAATCTAAATCTACCCTCTTTTAGTTTAAAGGCATTCCCCCTCATCCTATCACGCCACCCCCTAACAAAGAGTCCCTCCTCAGCTTTCCTGTAGTCCCCTTTAGGCACTGAAAGGCCACTGTACGGTCTCCCTAGAGCCTTCTCTTCTCCAGGCTGAACAACCCCAGAGAGTCTTATTTGAAAATCAGATTGAATTGAAATCTGAATTTTGACAGAACCTGGGACCTAAGTTCATATTCCGTGGTAATAAGACATCAACACAGGCCTTGAACATTACTCCAACAGTGCTCTGTTCAGATGGCCATCAGCCAAGCCTGAATCTTCAGATAAAGCCTGTTGACACCAGAGTGGATGGAGACAGGTTAAACAGGTTGTGACCACTGAATGTGTCAGAATTTATAAAAGCTCCAATTCTGAACATTCAATTCATGTACAGTGGAACATTCCAAATTTTTTTTTCAGTAAAATTACCCATCGTACTGACAAAATTTTATCAGCTGACAGAGATGTCTTCTGAAGACTTTTTTCCAGTGTTGGAAGCAGCTGAGGAACCCTGAACAAAAAGTACAGGATCCCTCTCTTTACCTTCCAAAGACTTCTTTGTGGAATTTCCAGGTCTGAAACTGCATTCAGTGCCTCTGGTGTGGTGTAAGGTCAGTTTTAAGAGACAAGGAATAGGCCAGCCAGATGTGCATGTGGAGCAGCAGAAGGGGTGGGTGTGGACACCTGTCAAGGCAGGAGAGTCAAAGTACAAAGTGTCTGCCCTGGGAGCACATCTGTGTTTGTGGCACCAGGGAGCTGGAGCTGGGGAGTGCCATGGATTGCACAGGTAAAGGGAAATTTATGTTCAAGCCTTTGAATGATGACGTATTCCATTATTGCTTGCTCTGCAAGATAACATAAGGAAAAAGGAAGGTGTCTGCTCCAGATCAGATCGTACATTATTTACCTCAGTCACTACAGTGTCTAAACTGGTGCTTGCCAACAGCTTTCTGGTGAACTGCAAGACAAGTGTGTAGTGATTCCTCTGAGCCCTGTTCTGGTCAGCCCAGGGCCCTGCTGAATGCAGTCTCCAAAGCAGCCCTGTAATTCTGCAGAGTTCCAGTAGATGGTGGGGTCTGATTAGCACTTGGCTCTTTGAACCAGCAGAAACAGCTCTCAATCGAGATGCTTGCATTGTTTTTCTATTACATTCTTTTAATCAGAGGAAGAAAAATTCATTTGTGGGAAAGCAGTAATCTCTGTCATTATGCTGTGCATTAAGAATGCCTGCAAATTAACGAAATTCCATTCCAGATATCAAACAGCAGTACAGAGCATGACTAATCATCTACGAATGGTAAGCTTTGAGAGCCTCTCTATAAACCCTCGTGATAGTAAGGTTTCATTGCTAACACACATGAAAAGCTTAACATTTTTTTAACATATACAACTCCAAAACTCTATTTTAAAGCAGGAAAATTGTCATTTAGAGGTAAATTTAATACAAGAGGGCTGAAAGCAGCATTGGGAAGCGTGCATCAAAAGGACAAGTCACTCTGGCAGGTGTATCTATGTCTGTATGGTTAGAAGGCAAACTCCAGCATTGCCCACGAGAAGCTGGTGGGGCTGCCTCCATCCCAGCAGGTGTGGATGTACACATTGGGAATTGCTGTCCAAGGCCACAGGCTTGCTGGGACAGCCAAGTCAGCTCATCTTCCTTACTGTATTTGGAGCAATAATACCCAATGGATTGATTCTTGATCCTTGCTATGAGGGTATTCACACCTTTCTGCTTCTGTGTTCTTTCTGTGGTAGTTTTGCTGTAAGACAGGAGAGCTGGGCTGGCAAGGAGAGCATCCACTGCTTTGGGAGAACTGCCTGCTGCAGCAGTGGCTGTGTCTGCACTGTGCAGGGGGACACTACGTGGCAGTGAAACAAATGCAGGCAGGTGAAACTGCACAGAAAACAGGAACTCCCAGTCAGAATTCAGTTCGGAGAGGAGCCAGGTCATTACCTGTTTCTGGGCACTTTAATATTATGTGAAAGGCAAATATAAAACACCCAGGCCAATTAACTTTTCTTGTAGAAACAGTAGGAATACATTTTTTTTTCCTCTCACAGTGCTATTGTTTCACATGAATCCCCTCTGTTCCTCATTTCTCTTTACAACATACAGATACCAGCCACCCATGCCTCCTCTTCTCTCTGTAGCAAGCCACGGAAGCCCACACTGTCTTATTTAGCCTAGTTTCTTTTAATCCCTTTCTCTGCCTCTTAATGCAGAAATCAAAGGACAATAACAAGATCATATACCAAAACGATAACTTTACATAGTGTTCTTTCTAACAATTCCAGTTATATATTGGTGGGTGTTTCTCTGCCAGAGTAATTACATGTTTTTGGGATGCTGGGTCCTCCAGTGAGAACCCAGAAATTGCTTCCAGCTCTTCCGCAGACATCTCAGCACCTCACTGCTGATGTATCATGCTTCAGGAAAGTTATCAAGGGGCACAGTGTAATAGTGGGGGAGTTGTGAAGCCATAACTACAATCAGTGGCAAATAATTCACATTTATAAATGGGAAAGTAAAGAGGTTGCTGGAAAGAAAGAGTAATGTAATCAACATGATCTGCCTTTTGACTGGGCCACATTACAATGATGGTGTCACTAAAGAGTTGAGCAACAGATTTTACAAAGTGGCAGGATTAAATGTTTCCCTCCTCCATTTATGTCCTGTTATTGTCCTCTGCATTTTTTCTATTTATGATTACAATCTGGAACCAGTTCATCTTTTAAGTTGCCGATAATTTTTCTGCTGTGTGTAAGTTTTCTGTGCAAACTGCTTTTCTACTCCTGCCTAAGTTACTATTGGTAAGTGTGATGCAAAGGCAGATGTCAGATCATTTCTTGTTCAGCTTTAGCAATGACCAGAGTTGTCCAGTTCTAAAAGAGTAAATAACAGGTAAATAACACAACACATCTGTATAACGTTACATCAGAAACTGCTTCTGTGACTCTCTTCAGTGTGATTACAGTGAATTCTGTGACACAGAGTGAATGGGATGCTGACCCCTGTCTGTTTGTTTCTGGGGTAATAAAAGATATGTGCCTATTGAAGTCTTCTTTTAGCAATATTTTACATTTCATTGCCAGGGTATGTTAAAGCACTGGATATGGGAAGGGAAGGGAAGGGAAGGGAAGGGGAGGGAAGGGAAGGGAAGGGAAGGGAAGGGAAGGGAAGGGAAGGGAAGGGAAGGGAAGGGAAGGGAAGGGAAGGGAAGGGAAGGGAAGGGAAGGGAAGGGAAGGAGGAAGGGAAGGGAAGGAAGGGAAGGGAAGGGAAGGAAGGGAAGGGAAGGGAAGGGAAGGGAAGGGAAGGGAAGGGAAGGGAAGGGAAGGGAAGGGAAAGAAGTATTTGTGACATACAAACTGCAAAGTGTGGTGTAAAGGACTTAATCTTGAATTCTTTACATACCTGAGACTCCTGTTGTTATCTCATCCCAGATTGTGGGCCTTTTTTAAGCTTGAAAGTTGATAAGTGCATTAGTAGCAATGAAGCACACAGGTCTGAAGTTTGGTATTATTACTCTTAAACAGAAGAGGCAATTTAACCATGTGCCAATGAAACTCAAACAGAAATGCAAACAGCTGGTATCTTGATTTACTCACTGTCAGAATGTGAAGGTAAGCAGTTCATGCCACAGCACCAGAAGTAAATTCAGAAGCAAACCAAGCTCATTTGCAAAACAACAATATCA